CACAGCGAGGCCGCATGGGGGGGCAGGCCAGGGCGCCCGCGTCGGCGGGACCCGCACAGGGGCGTGCGGAGGCCGTGACCTTGTTTGCCGGCAGACGGCAGGTTTGCTTGCTGGGCGTTGGTGCGGCGCGGCCGGCTCACCAGGAGGGTCTGGGCGGCGGGGCTGAGCTGGCTGTGCAGAACCAGCAAGACGACATAGGGCAGGAAGCTGAGCAGGTAGAGCAGGCTGGAGCAGAGGCCCGCGGCGGCCGCCCGGCCGAAGAGCGCGCTCAGCAGGTAGCTCAGCGTCACCGCCGACACCCCGAAGTCCAGCAGGAAGAGGAACACCAGGCGGGCGTCGCTGTGCGCAAAGATGCCGCTGGCTTTCAGGACGGCCGCCAGGGCGGCGCTGCTGAGGGTCATCACGGCCACGTTCCCCAGGAGCCAGGCCAGGACGCTGGCGGCCGGGGGCGCCCCCATCATCCTCAGGTGCTGCCGGGGGAGGAGCCGGTGAGCAGAGCAGCGGGGGCCCCAGGAAGGGGGACCCGGTCCCGGGAAGGAGGCCCGGGAGGCGGGCGGGCCAGGCTGGCACTGCGCCCACCCCGCGTGGAAACCCAGCCCCGCCCGGGGCACTGGGGGCTCCCCCGGCAGCCCCGGGGTTCATTCTTAGGAACCGTAGGGAGGAGGCCGGTCCCCGCGTCAGGGCAGAGAGAAGGGAGCCGGCGAGGGCCCGGAAAACACGCTCCTGCGGAGAAGCTCAGAGCGGGTCAGACCCCAGGCGGGCGGGCGGCCGCAGGCTCCGGCCTCTCCTCGCCCACCCAGGCTTCGTTGTTTCCAGTCCCATTTTTCATTGCGTTTCATTTTGTTTAATGAGGAGAAACCCTTCCTGACGTCCGGGGGACTGTGGCGCAGGGTTTAGAAGGAGTTTTGCTAAATAGCTCAGTTTGAAGTAACAGCAGAGGATTAATTCTTCTGCTGAACCGACCGTTGGCTCCTCGGTAACATCGGGAGAGCTCTGGGCGCAGCGTTACTATTAAGGAGGATTTCTGGCCGCGGCAGCTGGGAGACTAACCGTCACCCCAGGCCCTATGCCCAGGGGCCTGGCTGGACCAGGCGAGAAACAGGATCCGCTGTTCATGGTGAAGCCACGGGCAGGAAGGTAAGGCGAGCGGGACTGAGCCACGCGGGAGCTCGCTGGGCTCTGCCCCCGGCTGCGCCTCGGGAAACGGGGAGCGAACAGCCTGGGCCATTGCCTCCCGGCCCTGCCCTCCTGCGGCTAAAGGGGGGCAGGTCCTTCTGGACGTGGGAGGCAACCCATTGATGTTTCTCTCTCTCGTGCCCCCTTCTCTCTCTAAAATCAGTAAAGGCAAGTCCTCAGGTGAGGATTTAAAAAAAAAAAACACACACAAAAAAAAGCAGTTCTGATGGTCTAACTTTTAACAATATTAGGACAAAACCAGCCGGCGGAGCGGGAAGAGAGCTCCAGCCGTAAGGTAAGAGGCGAGCGGCTGCCCCCAGTTTCTGGTGTAAAAACTGCTGAGTGAGCAACGCGGTTTCCTTCCTTCCACTTCCTTCCCCCGCCTTTCATCTCGGCCGGAAATACCTGCTCGGCTCCGGCAGGACCGGGGCCGACGGTGGTTTTCCCGGGGCGGGGACCCCCCGGCCGCGCCCGAGCCCCGGGAGGGGAGGCGGGCAGGGCCCTGGTCGCCCAGGCCGCACGAGCGCCTCACCTCCTCCATCTGGATCTCCCGCTCGTAGACCAGCTTCCGGACCATACTGGCCACGGACACCATCCAGGCCAGCACCATTACCAGGGGGAGGAAGAAGCCCACGTTGTTCAGGAACCTGTGAGGGAGGGAGGCGGGCGGCCTGAGGGCGGGGGCGGGGGTGCCCAGGCATCCTCCACGCTATCCCCGCAGAACACGGCACTGTGGGGACGCTGTCTAGGGGCCATTCCGACAGGCTTGTGACAGGCAAGGCCGCTCTTCGGGGTCCTGACCTAACAGCTGTGCAGGCTCACAGGGGAGGCGCCTGTAGCCCGCAGCACCCTGAGCCCCCACCCTGGGTGACAGGCTCTGAAGAGGCCCCTCACCCCTCGGGGCCCCAGCGGAAGCCGGTGACCTGTGGTCTCTGGTCCTAAGAACCCTGGTGACCGGCGTCCTGAGGCGGCGACCCTGCTGTTCCCCACGACGCACAGCCGTCGGCCGCGAGGCTCCCAGATGCAGACAGCGCAAACCTCCCCTCCCGGCAACACGTGGCCGTTCTAAGTTTGTGAAACAGGCACCCCGACCACCGGGGGGGGGGGAGCCCAAAAACAAGCGAACGGCGCTGGCGTTCTGGAAGCGGGAACAGGCCACCTTTCCCCTCTGCTTTCTACCTCTCGGTAGATAACCATTTATTTATACAACTGACAGTGGGACGTCTGAGAGGCCGCAGAACAGCCCTGTCCCCCCCCCCGACTCGGGGGAGCAGGCGCACGACCCGGTTCCAGACCCTTCCGACCAGCGATGACCCTGCTCTGGCACCGGAACAAGAGCACGTCGCTCGCTCGGCAAACTCCGCAACCAGGGGAACAAAGCCCTTGGTTATTGAACACTTTAAAAGGACACTCTGGTCTCCTAAGCTTTTAATTGTCACCGCCTTTCTCGGAAGGAGGCAAGTCCTCCGTCGACATTCTAATGCCCCCCGTTGACAGTGTTTTCTCGGGGGTCCCCTCTATTAGCACCTTCCCCGAGTCCAAAGGCAGACGCCAGGAGTGGAAAACACACACGGAGGGACCCGAGACAGCAACTCTGGTCCAAGTGCGGGGCCTCGACTTGCAGCCTCTCCGCCCCCACCCCGGGCCTCTGCCCCTGCCTCCCCCTGCTGTTCC